GCCGGGTTCCTAGAGCCGCACTGCGAACCGCCACGCCACTGTGACTTTTCTCCACTGTGCAATTACTTATTACGAAGCGGCATAACTGCGGCGAGCCGATGGGCACCGACAACTCGAAACCAGTCTGGGTACAGCTCAATTTGCACAGTTGCCAGCGAGCCAGCCGGAAATACGAACCCACGAATGCCTGCGAGGCCAAATTGCGCATTCTTATATTTTTGCAATTAAACATTTTATTAGTTTACGTACAGTGGTACATAATGGGTACCCACTGAGCAAAGACACCTGAGTCCAGGCAGACCCAGACCTCGGAAGTTAAGGTTGAGCCTGGAAAGCGACTGGATGGTCGGCAACCATGCAGAGCAGGGTTGTTCTCGGCTGCAGGGTTACGTTGTTTGCAGAGGGCAGTGCAGCATAATCCATTGTCGCGTTATGCTATGCTCCAACGTCGATGCTACCCACCTTTACCGAGCCGCACTGACCGGCACAGTAAAGTATGGTACAAACCAACACCGAGGAATTGTGCGTCATGGGAAGGCCGTCTCATCCAGCAGTGGATTGAAGGGCTGTCCATGTACATGGGCGCCGCAGTGGCGAGAGGTTATCTCCGGCGCCCGGTATGCAGGAGGAGGTCGTGGGTTCGACCCCGACCCAACCGCTCGCTGTATATATGGAACTTGTGTGTTCTTCCCGTGGTCGCGTGGATTTTCCCCTCCACATTTAGAAACACATTTCAAGTATTTGGCTGCTACTATAAATCCCCAAATATGATAAGGCACTTCCATTGGGCTTTCATTTGTGGCCAGGTCAGCTTTTGAAAAAGAGCTAATAACTCAGTGGGCTTTACCTGGTAAATTAAATAGTTTAAAAGCGTTTAGTTTTACACTGTACAGGTCGCACACTGCTGACGGCAAAAAAGCGAGGGCGGGGGAAGGGCTTCTTGGGAGGCGGGGAGAGTGGATTGGTTTCAGCAAAGTTGAGAAATCATTAAATGTTTACAGATAAGTGAATGGAAAAGTTATCATCAACACCAGCACTGTCATCATCGTCAGCCCCATCACGAGACAAGCAATGATATACAGACCCTGCACAAACAACAACAACAACATCATCACCATCGCCACCGCCAGCATTATCATCACTAACGGAACACAAGCAGTCATGTGCTGTTTTACAAGGCAATAACTGAGCATAAAAAGTAACTTTGAAGAACTGAATCTGGAAAAAAAGCCCTCCTTGCTCAATGTCCACACACGTTATCCCAAAAAGCTGCACACGTGCGTACCCATTTACAGTTGCTTTTTTTTCCGACGGAAATACAAGTTCAGTCGAAATCTACAGGAGAACTTTAACAGAATGCTCCCACAAATACGCGAGCAGTGTCGACGAGATGTTCACTTCGGGGATTCCTTGGCGATAAAAACCAGGAGGAGAAAAGTCGGCGCGCATCTCCGCTCAAGGCACAATGAGGCGGCCGTGCTGATCACAAACACGCGGCTCTGAGTCAGAGGTGGAAACTCCACATTCCTAGGGTGGGCCACTCTGCCCCAATAAATATGTATGATTATTATATTACGCGTAATTAATAATTATATAAAACTGACAAGAGTGAGTGGCGTGTGGGTGAGTGCGAGTGTGTGGTTGTGGTGTGAGTGTGAGTAGTGTGTAGCGTGTAGCGTGTGGGTGAGTGGGAGTGTGTGGTTGTGGTGTGAGTAGTGAGTGGTGTGTGGGTGAGTGTGTGGTTGTGGTGTGAGTGTGAGTGGTGAGTGGCGTTTGGGTGAGTGTGTGGTTGTGGTGTGAGTGTGAGTAGTGAGTGGTGAGTGGCGTGTGGGTGAGTGTGAGTGTGTGGTTGTGGTGTGAGTGTGAGTAGTGAGTGGCGTGTGGGTGAGTGTGAGTGTGTGGTTGTGGTGTGAGTGTGAGTAGTGAGTGGTGAGTGGCGTGTGGGTGAGTGTGAGTGTGTGGTTGTGGTGTGAGTGTGAGTAGTGAGTGGCGTGTGGGTGAGTGTGAGTGTGTGGTTGTGGTGTGAGTGTGAGTCGTGTGTAGTGTGTAGCGTGTGGGTGAGTGGGAGTGTGTGGTTGTGGTGTGAGTGTGAGTGTGTGGTTGTGTAAGTGGGAGTAGTGTGTGGTGAGTGGCGTGTGGATGAGTGTGTGGTTGTGGCGTGAGTGTAAGTAGTGAGTGATGAGTGGCGTGTGGGTGAGTACGAGTGTGTGGTTGTGGCGTGAGTGTAAGTAGTGAGTGATGAGTGGCGTGTGGGTGAGTGGGAGTGTGTGGTTGTGGTGTGAGTGTGAGTAGTTTGTGGTGAGTGGCGTGTGGGTGAGTGGGAGTGTGTGGTTGTGGTGTGAGTGTAAGTAGTGAGTGATGAGTGGCGTGTGGGTGAGTGCGAGTGTGTGGTTGTGGTGTGAGTGTGAGTAGTGTGTGGTGAGTGGCGTGTGGGTGAGTGGGAGTGTGTGGTTGTGGTGTGAGTGTAAGTAGTGAGTGATGAGTGGCGTGTGGGTGAGTGCGAGTGTGTGGTTGTGGTGTGAGTGTAAGTAGTGAGTGATGAGTGGCGTGTGGGTGAGTGCGAGTGTGTGGTTGTGGTGTGAGTGTGAGTAGTGTGTGGTGAGTGGCGTGTGGGTGAGTGGGAGTGTGTGGTTGTGGTGTGAGTGTAAGTAGTGAGTGATGAGTGGCGTGTGGGTGAGTGCGAGTGTGTGGTTGTGGTGTGAGTGTGAGTAGTGTGTGGTGAGTGGCGTGTGGGTGAGTGGGAGTGTGTGGTTGTGGTGTGAGTGTAAGTAGTGAGTGATGAGTGGCGTGTGGGTGAGTGCGAGTGTGTGGTTGTGGTGTGAGTGTAAGTAGTGAGTGATGAGTGGCGTGTGGGTGAGTGGGAGTGTGTGGTTGTGGTGTGAGTGTAAGTAGTGAGTGATGAGTGGCGTGTGGGTGAGTGCGAGTGTGTGGTTGTGGTGTGCGAGTAGTGTGTGGTGAGTGGCGTGTGGGTGAGTGGGAGTGTGTGGTTGTGGTGTGAGTGTAAGTAGTGAGTGATGAGTGGCGTGTGGGTGAGTGGGAGTGTGTGGTTGTGGTGTGAGTGTAAGTAGTGAGTGATGAGTGGCGTGTGGGTGAGTGCGAGTGTGTGGTTGTGGTGTGCGAGTAGTGTGTGGTGAGTGGCATGCGGCTGAAAGTGACTGTGGGCTTGTGGTGTGAGTGTGAGTAGTGTGTGGTGAGTGGTGTGCGCTTGAAGTGTAAGCATGAGTATTGTCTCATGAGCGGCGTGTGGGTGAGAGCGAGTGTGTGCTTGTGGTGTGAGTGTGAGTAGCGTCTCGTGAGCGGTGTGCGTGAGTCTGTGTTCATAATGTGCGTGTACTGCGTGAGTGGCACAATTATAACAGCACTGTATTTGCTTGTGGTGCGAGTGGTGAGGATTGACTGGGTGAGTGGGCGTGCAGGTCAGAGTCTGTGTGTGTACGCAAGTGAGACTTGGTCGTGTGAGAGCGTGCATTCACGATGTGTGCATTGAGCGCACTGTGTGTCTGACACAAGCTGCGTGTGTTGCAATTCTGCCTGTTGTCTAGGATGAGTGGTACTGTGGTTTGACTGGTCACCGACACTCCGCGATGTGGTTTACACATCCGCCGCATGTGTAACGACTGTGCGTCAGCATCACGCGTCAATGGATCGGTCTGTTAATATCGAGCGTACATCAATAGAATTTCCACAACTTCGAAAAGCAGAGAGGAGGGCCGTGTCCGAGCAAGTGGTTGAATTTGCGTTCGGGCGAGCGTGAGAGTGTTGGGATAAGTGGTGTTGGTTGGCGAGTGCCTTGCGAGGGAGTGTCGTCGGTGTCGTGTTAAGTGTGTTCCGGCAGACACATGCCACACAATATTCCCACGATCACCCCCGCCGACCCAGACAAAACTGTCACTCACGAACAGAGGGAACTGGTCTTTCCCCAAATGGTTGAGCGCACATGCAAATCATCTCAGCATACAGCTTTTTTTAGTGCACCCATTATTTGTATGATCAGTTGCGTCATTATTTATAAGATCCGTCACGTCGGTAAAGTCACCTACGTGACTTTACCGACGTGACTTTACCGACCAAAGAGTATGGACCCTTGCAGTCACGAAAACTTCCAATCTAGAATTGTTCCGTACTTGTTGTGTGTGGCTACTGCACTGCGGGGAGTGGCAGCCTTCATTGCGCTAACAACCCCGCCAACTCGAGTCCAATTCCTGCTCAAGGGCAACATCGATGACGAAAATCCGAACCGGTTCTGGGGCTCCCCCAGCGGTTTGTGTATAAACATCAGCATTGGGGAGACAGACGCGGACAGGCGTGGTGCCTGTCACCCACCGCATTGTGTGCCGTGCCGGTCTCAAGAGGTGCCTACACTAACAGCACTTGCCCAAGCAGCCTGTTAAGGCTATACAGGGTATCTCTATCTTTTTTTGTACTGCAATATATCTTGAATAGTAATAATGCATTGTACGGTTGGCTAGCTGGCAACTCTACTGCATGAATAGCTGTAGCTTAGTAACCTATAAAGAGGATTTGCAGCATCAGCAACATGCGCCGTAGCTTAGTTTGTAACCAAATGGTATTGCGTTCTGAGTAACACCAGGTGTGTAAAGTTTATGGGACTTTGTATACATGTGTAGTGTAGCACAAGTCGCAGACGAGGTAGTTGTGGATGTTTACACAGTACTGTTATATACACATGCGTGCGCATGCAATACTGCATGATAACTGAAAATAAACTACAACCGTTTGTCAAGCCACTGCTGGATGAAGGCGACCATACTTCGCCACACTGGTAAGTGCAAGTTGCTGAATGGGGGAAACCCGGCCAAAAATTGGGATAATCGCCACTGATGTTCACCGGTGGCTGGAAATATCGAATTCATGTCACCGGGTTCATAGTGCAGCGAGTTAACGGCTATGCTATCAACCCCCCCACCCAACACACACACACACAAACAAAGAGCCACATGCACACACACACGAACGCACGTGCAGGCCTATTCACGTACATGAGGTCCGGCCGGTGGTGGTGGATGATAGCGCAGAAGGCGAGGCCATCACGGAAGGACGAGGTCATGTTGGTGATGCTCACGCCGGGGTATCCGTCCGTGCGACGGCGACACCATTCTTGCAGGCCCCGGAGTGCCGCGCCGGCTGCCATCGTCACAGCACCACGAGCGGGGAGCCCAACCCGAGGAGGACCTGTCAAGATCGCTGCCACCAACCCGGCCCAGAGTCCAACCCGCACCCCGTCACTGTCTCGCTGTCACGAAACCTGAGCCTAACCTTAGCAGGAGACGAGCTCCCGTCGCTGTCGCTACCACTAACCCAAACCTAGTTCTGGGGCTCCACTGAAACACGCTGCTGCGGGCAACCACGTAAAAAAGAAATTCACTCCAATTTCAATCTTGGCCCTCCTCTTAACTCAACCCCGAATTCAACCCTAACATCGCAACTCTTATGACTCTATTCGTAAAACCTGACAGCGACTGAAACTCTAACTATCCTCCTCTTTACACCCGACCCGTAACACTTAAGCTTACCCTCAGTCCGAACACCGACTCTTACTGATGCTAACGAAAAACCTAAGCTCCTGTCTCGACTTTAGCCCTCGATCTAAGACACTAACCCCACCTCCGCCAAGAGCCCTACCCCGTGCCACCCTTTCCTCTTCTGAACCCCTCCCACGTTCTGGCAGTTGTCCAACCTCAGCTGGGGTTTCCCCAAGTCTCGGATCTCTCCTATTTCCTCCCAGGTTCAAGATCCCAGATCGCAGGTTCTTGGTTCCAGGTCTCAGGGTTATCTTGTTCCAGGTCTCTTTTCCACCGGCTCTGTGAAGTTTTGTCATAAAGAGAGACACAGAGAGACTTGGGGTGAACAGGTGCAGATAGAAACCCTCTGATCTGTGCGAGTCTGGGTTCATGCCCTGGGCTCACTTCTCTTTGGCTCTAATTTGGGTAATTTGAGCTGCATGCTGTGTGAGTTTAGGAGTTAAAGTTAGGGGGATTTTTTTACGTCCTTACCATCCAGCCCCACCTATACAATCATTCATACTATCACTATCACCACCACACCATCATTACACATTCATTCATGCGCCATCACTACACACCCCGCATCACTAACGATCCACCTACTCACCTACCCACCCACCCCTTTCCATCGCAATCATCCTCCCACACACATCATCCCAATGAGTGAAACCCCTGTCATTTGAAACTAGGCAGATAAATGATCTTTCCACATGAACAGATAAGAACCATTCATACAAGACTCCTCTTTGCCAACCAAGACAGGCCTGTATTTAAGTGCTGTCATTTAAATGGAGTGAAACAATAAATGGCAATGTGTAAGGGATCTAATTTTAAATTATTATTTTGAGTTGCGTCCTATATAATTTTGCGTCCCAACTAGAACCCTATAGCGTAGAGAAAGGGTCCCTTTGCCTGTAATATTGGTAGTTCACCAGAATTGATTTAAGCAAGCCTGATTGCTGATGAGACACTGTGTCAAAAACTGGTCCACCCGTATTGAAACAACGCCACAGAAATGATGCACTCCCAAAAGGCCGTGCGGCTGATGCGTTGTTTAAATAAATGTTATAAAATTGTATGTAAAGATGGATATGTGAAGGACACAGTCAGCTTATTTTGTCTTCATTTTAAAAGTTAACTTAATCAGAAAATGTATTCCATATATATGGAACGTACACACACTAAAATAATAAACAATAAGCATAGACATGCAGCTTGCTGTACACACATGTATACATCAAAGGAAAAGTACAATACAGTACTGTGCAAATGTTTAAGTAACATACACTGGCATATACTGGAGTCACACAGCACATGTACGTAAACATTCAAACGCATGCGCAACACACATACATTAAAATTGTATTGCGTATTGTACAAGTGCAATGACTGTAGGCACATTCACATAGCACACACAGTATACGCCCAGAAATGTACATTCACATGTACACACTCTGACCACCACATGCACCAACACACAACACACACATTCACAGAGGCAAAGCACCGACGCAAACACTCATCTCATTTCGATTTAAAGCTTTCGTGACTGCAGGGATTCATCTTCTTGGTTGTTTCGGTAAAGTCACGTAGAAGGGAAAAAATAAAATAATAAAATAAAAATAATACAAATAAACAAAACATAATAAAATAATTCTCACGACGTTTCGGCCACAACGCAAGCAGCCGTCCTCAGGTGAAGAACAGGTCTGTCGGAAAGACAGCGTCTGAATGACGCTGCGTCTGAATAACGCTGTCTTTCCGACAGACCTGTTCTTCACCTGAGGACGGCTGCTTGCGTTGTGGCCGAAACGTCGTGAGAATTATTTTATTATGTTTATGTTTATTTTATTATTTCTTTCCCTTCTACGTGACTTTACCGAAAGAACCAAGAAGACTCATCTCAAGCCTCCATCTCCGCCGTGGTCGCACCTCTCGCGTGTTGTGTTCTCTCTTTAATTCGTGGGAATCCTGTAACCAGTCTCAACCATCGGCCACCATATCCATTCGAGCGATGTCCCTTCGCCTAAGCCCCACTGACTTTTCTTAACAAGTGAATAGGATAGTAGTAGGGTTTTACCCTTTAAACTGGTACAAAACTGACACCTTTATACAAGGCATCATGTTTGCAATAACCGCAACACAAGCAGTCAAAATGCAAACAAAAAGAAACAACTCTGATAATGGTAATGATATGCACTGTCCTTGAAGTTGATTGGTCCATACCCGAGGAGGTCTCATAGTGTAAATGCTTACCCAAGCTCTCAATACTCTGATAGTGCGCTGTTTTTGAGTTGTACGCCTTTTGGCGTTATCTGGTCCAACACCAATGGAGACTAGGCTCTAAGGAAAGCTGTCTCGGGTGTGGACCAATCAACTTCAAGGACAGTGCATATAATTATCAGAGTTGTTTCATTTTGTTTGCATTTTGACTGCTTGCGTTGCGGTTATTGCAAACATGATGCCTGTATAAAGGTGTCAGTTTTGTACCAGTTGAAAGGGTAAAAACCTACTACTATATGTTGCCACTGGTAAAGGAGGTCTCATAGTGTAAAGTGAACAGGGTGTTACGGATTTGCATTTGTTCTCTGAACCACGTGTTCCTCCTGTTTCTGTCTCTGAATGTAATCCCAAGAATGAACATTGCCATGCTTCATTAGAGGTGTTTGGGTTAGATCGCGTAAATATAAATGCGTCATTAAACCCACCACTACCTACGTGTTGAACTAAATTGCCATGCTTCTTCGCACACTCTCTGAGTTCCCTTCCTTGGCAGCGTCCATCTGTGCAAATAAACACTTGAGCCTTGTCAAAGAAAGGATACAATTGTATATACAGGCTGAAACCAGACCGTTAGCATGAGAAAAATCGAGATCGGAAGCCAGCATAACTGCTACTCACTGTGAGCAAGATGACGAATTCAAATGATTAGTGGAGCCAAATGATGAAATGGATGTCACCGCTTTGTGAATGTTCGTTTGTGGTCAGTCGAAGGGTTATCTGCGGTGAACAGTTTGTTGTTTTGCACTGGGGGGGTGGGGGGGGTGTTATAAATTCATGGCGTTTTAAATTTCTGTCCGTGGCACCGGTTGTTTCTGTTCTGACTGTTTTTGTTCCCTTTGTGAGCGAGACTTTATCCTGGTCTCTCGCGTTCACAATCGGTTTCAACAAAAAATAAACTTGGACTTTGAGAAATGCAACAACGTGCAGAGTAACGGACTGAGCATTGGAAATCTGAGAGAGAGGGGGGGGGGCAAGATAGAAAAGGATTGGAAAAAAGTACATAAAAGCTATTGAAGAAAGACCCAAAGAGTATTGAAGAAGAGACAGAGACAAAGAGGTGGATATGATCAACAAAAATAGTATACGGGGAACTCCGTCGAACAATTATGAAAGGAATAAAAAATAAAGCGGAGAACACTCAAACGGCAATTGCTGGATACGTCAGAGCAAGCAACGGGAGCGTGTGCCAGTGATCGATACCCTGAGAGGTGTGACGGCTAGTATCGAAACGACGTCAATCAAAGCGATTGACAAGGTTGTTTGGGTAGGCGGGGTAGGTGGAGGCGACGGAGAACGAGAAAGGGCGGAATGACGTAAAAGGGTGGAAGACGTAAATCGGGGTATGACTGTATCGTAGCAAAAACGGAGATTGGCATTCTGCACGTTGGGTTCCTTCGGGAGAACGATGGAACCACGACGGATGATTATTTTGTAGCGCCCCCCTCCCGCCCGCCGCATCTCCGATGAGCGTGGTTGGCTACGTACGGTGCGAAAAAAGTTCAACATATTGTACAGCTTACATTTTGTGGATTCATTGTTGTAGAGCTCTATAGATAAACTGCACATATCCGAGGATACCTTAATTTTCAGATAAAGAGAAAGTTTCAGATGTCACACTTTAGCTAAGGGGCCGTCCATAAATTATATCACGCACCTACGAGGGGAGGGGGTCAGACATTTGTGACGATGTGTGACGATGGGGGGGGGGGGGGGTGAGAAACGTGACGTCTCATCAAAAACTTTAAATAAATATAGACAACACGTTCTATTTAATTAAATAGACTTTTAAATAAATGTTTTTTTCCTACAACATCAGAGTGCAGCGCCACATTAAATACGCACTACAATGACAATAGTTTAAAGCGATTTGAAGCATGTTTTATATTTTTTGGGGGAGGGGGCAGAGCTTTGTGACGTCATATTTGAGGGGGGGGGTCTGACTTTTTGTGACGCCGTGTGACGAAGGGGGGGGGGGGTCAAAAATCGTCCAAAATCGCGTGACGTCATTTATGGACGACCCCTACCTAACCTTATATATTTCACGTATTTGTGTTTAGTGATTTGCTTATCTTTCAAAAACTTTTGCACTCCGGTCGTTATTTTATTGTTTTGTTGTTGTGAGTTATCTGACCCACCCCAACTGTAAAAAAGAGCCGAATGGCTCATCGGATTTCTCCAGGAATACATAGATATTCTTACTCTGAAGAAGTAATCTCTTCCACACTATGAACAAATTGAAAGCTCCTGGGACCATGTATGGATGTTGAACTTTTTTCGCACCGTACTTTGCCAACCGTGTTATACAAAGACCCCGTGTAGCCTGTAACACTGTTTGCGAGCAGCACCGATGAAGGCCACTGGCCAGCACCACGCCCGGCCGCCTTTGTCTCCCCCAATGTTTCCTACACACCGCACCAGGTACTCATTTGAGGCCGAGTCGACCGAGGGGAGACCCAGGACCATCGTTACCCATCGGTGCTAGTGGGCGTGAGCGGGAATCGAATTCGGATATCTGCCGTGTTCGTGGCATGCACGGCGTAGCGCTAACCGCTGCGCCACCGCTCCCCATTGGTGAACACCACACAGACACACACACACGCTCTCTCTGTCACAAAAGACAAAGATCCCCGTATAGCCTTAACAGACTGTAGGGGCAAGTGCTGTTAGCGAGCACCTATGAAGGCAGGCACGGCACACGAGGGGGTGGGTGGCCAACACCACGCCCGGCCGCCTTTGTCTCCCTAGTGGCAATGTTTACACATCGCACCAGGTACTCATTTCAGACTGAGTCGACCTAGGGGAGGCCCGGTACCGGTTCAGATAATCGTCACCACCGGTGTTGGCCGTGAGCGAGAATCGAACCCGGATCGCCAGGTTCGTAGCGCAGCACAGCGCTAACCGCTGCACCACCGCTCCCCATTGGTGAATAACACACAGACACACAACCACACATCCACAAACACTCTTTAACACAACGCACACGACTACACACAACGCACACACACAGTCGTGTTATGTAACGCATTATACAGGAGTCGTGTACTGCATGCAG